GCTCAGTGGGTAAAGGCCCTTGCTGAACAACCCTAGTTCCCCAAGTTCAATCCCCAGAGCTCCATAAAGTGTCTGGAGAGACCCGAGTCCACAGTGCTGTCCTGCAGCCTTCACGCATGCACACCCACGCATGGCATTCACATATACATACGATGTAATAAACAAACATTTAGAACAAAAGAAGCAAAACAAGAAGCTTAGTAAGGACTGAAAGTGAAACTTAGTGGTAGCACACAGTACATGTAGGTCTCGAGATTCCATTTCTGGCACTGAAAGTTAGTTAAAAATGATGGCACTTAGGATGTTGACACAGAACACTCAGTAGTTCAAGACCAGCCTGGGCAACATAACAATTCCAGTCCACTTGGGACTTCTGAGACAGACCCTGCACCCAAACAGGAGCCTTACCCTGGGCAGTAAATGAATGCCATTAAGCTAACCATTTGCTGTGTGCTGCGGTCACCAAACATGAGCCCTTCCCTGGCACTCTGCAGAGCTAGAACCCACTCCCTGTGTCGTCAGCCACTTACCCAGCCTGCCTGTCCATACCCCACCCAACCATCAACACAGAGAATGGCAAATAACCTATGAATGACTCCACCCCTAATTTTCATGATCTGTCCTCACCAATACTTCTGCTGTTCCCATCTTGCAAACAGGAAGCACTGTCTGCTGTGACCTGACCTTTCTTCCCAGCCTCTGTTCTTCCTCTTCTCAGGCAGATGGGTGATGGGTGGGTCCTCACCAGCCTTCCACACCTCCCACTATGACTCCAGGATCTTGCCAATGCCCTCCCTGGGGCCATTCTCAGAGTGCGGTCAAGTTTCAGTAGCCCAAAGTTCCTTGCAGCTCCCAACACATCCCACCTGGCCCACCGCTTGTCCTGAATACCTCTGACCTCCCAGGCAGCCCTGTCTTAACCTCTCCAGGCACGTCACCTTTAACAGCTGCACCCTGTTGCATTCCATGAGCTGCTCCTCCCCTTGCCCTGTCTCCTTCAAGTAGAGATCTTGTATAAAACCTGGCACTCTCTGTTTTGCAGTGCCAGGGAAGAACTCAGGATCCTGTGCTTGTAAGACAAACATAAAACCCAATAAGGAGGGCCTAGGGGCAAGGCTGATGACATTAAAATCCTCTAGTCTAGTAAAGGGTAATGTGGCTCAAAGGTGTGCCCTCCTACCCAGACTCCCCCGGTGAGGGGCTGGAGGCAGGGCTCATGGGTGGAACGCCCACCCAGAATCCCCCAGAGAGGGGCTCAGGGGTAGAATGCCTACTTAGCATGTGCGAGGCCCTGGGTTTCATCCCATTTCAGCAAGAAAGAAAGAAGGGGGAAGGAAAGGATGGAAGGAAGGAAAAGGAATTACATAACCCTCCATAATGCAGAGGAAAAGTTATGGATACTAAAACCGTGCCTGCTCACATTTTTATCCGAAAATAATGAAAGTGCTCACACAGTGGCCCCAAAATGCAGGCTCAATGGGTACTAAGACAGATTGTCGGGGAGTAAGGTGTTTTTAATGTAACCAGACGATAGCGGTGCAAACATTTAATCCCAGCACTTAGGACGCAGAGGCAGGTGGATCTCTCTGTGAGTTCAAGGCCAGCCTGGCCTACAGAGCGAGTTCTAAGACAGTCAAAACTGTTATGCAAAGAAACCCTGTCTCAGAAAAATTAAAAAGAAAAAAAATGGATGCATGGCATTTAAAATAAATATACATGATAACTGTAAACAAACAAAACCTTATTGACTCCATGGACAGACAGGCAGAGTGGCAGCAGTGTAGCCCAGGCTCTGAGAAGACTTCAGGCCCCAGTACCAGAGACGGACACCATGGGAAGGTCTCTAAAGAGAGAAAACTAAGGTCCCATGGCACAAGTCTCAGTCATCCGCTTCTGAGCATAGAGGAAGTTTCACAGCCAGGAGGCAGGGAAAGGGGTGGAGCACGCATGTAACTGGGGTCTTTGACATAAACTCATTTCCTCGGGTGAGAAGCCCTAGTACCTGGCTTCTGCTGGCTAAGGGCTCAAGTGTCTCAGGAGGGTGCGTGCTGGCATCTGTGACAGCGGAAGGCCATGCCTTGTGGAGCAGCTAGATTCTAATGTCACGTCCGTTCTTTTTACTTTTTGAATCATTATTTTAATTTTAAAGGTGTACACGTTTTGCCATCATGTATGCCTGTGCACTGTGTGAAAGCCAGAAGAGGTCACTGGACCCTCCGAGCTTGGGAGTTTGGGGTTACAGACAGCTAGAGACCACCATGTGGGTTCTGGGGACTGAAGTCAGGTCCTCTGCAGGAGCAGCAGATGCTCTTGACTGCTGAGCCGTTCCTCCAGCCCTGGAGCCCCCAGCACTGCGTACACCACGTGGGGTGGTACACTCGTGTTATCTCAACAATTGAGGAAGAGGCAGGAAGATGTCAGGGTCCTGCAAGCCTGGTCGATGGGTGTGAGGGCTCATCTGAATGAAGGAGAGAAGGGAAAAGGGTGTGGATGAATGGGCAGTGTAAGTTTAGCCAGGACCACACCGCAAAGGACTGAATGTCAAAGCAAAGGATTCATCCCTCACTGTTCAGGCTGTGAACTTGAGAGCATTGTTCATGGCTGTAGCTCATAATCTGTACTACATCTACACATTCTAAAATATATGCTGTATGTATATACTACATTTATATTTAAATTTTTTAATTATACCGACTGATTGATTGATTGATTGATTGATGAGTTTGCACCTGCGGTAACACACGTGTGGAGGCCAGAGAACCAGGAGTTGGTCCTCTCCTTCCACCACGTGGGTCCCAGGGCTTGAATTCAAGTCATCAGGCTCAGTAGCAAGCACCTTTACCCACTGAGCAATACTGACAGCCTATTTTAGAAACAGGGTCTTGATGCATAACTCAGCTGACCTGAAACTCATGGAAGGTCTCCCAACTTCCCCCTCTTAAGTACTGGGATCAACAGCATGCCACCATGCCTGTCCCGCTGGGAGATGAGGATGTGATTCACCTACAAGAGTCCTGCCTACAAACCCAGATTGCTGGGTTTGCTCTCCAGCGTTTTATAAATTATGCTTGGTGAACACTAATGGGGTCTCTGCACGTGTCTGGCAAAGGAGCAAACCTCGAAGAGATGAGTGTGAAGACTCGATTCCAACTGACTTCATCAGCCTGGATCAAGACTTCTACAGAGTCTATGACAGGCAGTTCATCATCATCATATTTAAAAAACAGTGCAATTTGGGAAAAATCGTTTCCTGGTGTAATGCAATCCCTGTTGCACAAGGAAGCGTAATTACAGTGAAACTTGACCCAGTACATGGCATTTCTTCCAAGACGATGGGGTCTAGAGATAGGCTACTTGTGTTAGCTTGAGGGCCTAGAGAAGGCTCTGGCCTGGTCTTGGTCAGACAGATAGCACAGAGGTCATTTGGACTGTTAGCCACTTCTGTTCCTGGTTGTGGGAGCTTGGGGGAGCCCCTGGCTATAAGGGTCATTCGGATTTCTAGGCATCTCTGGTCCTGGTTGTAGGAGCTTGATGAGGCCTGGCCCAACACAGATCACCAGCCTCTTAATCACTTCTAATTCCCAGCTTTCTGGATGGAAGAACGGGTATTTCATGTTTCCCACTGGAAAGACAATCATGTGTGCTTAGCATTCCTGGTCTCCCTGGAGATCTGTGGGCACAAGGACCTTCGTGCTATGCTCCCAACAGCACATACCTATCAATCAAAAACCCAGGAAGTCACATCACATCCACAGTCAAGAGCAGAGAGAGGCAGAAGGGTCATGCTACATAGTGAGTTCAAGGCCAGTGTGATCTACAAGAGTCTGTCTCAAAGCAAACCAATTATTTATAGCCTGGAGGAATAGGACAGTGACGGGATCCATGGACAGGTTCTCTAACACAGAGACGTGGGGCCAAATCTGTCACACGTGTGAGCTACCTTCACAGCACTGTGACATACCCTCCTAGAAACAACGTAAATGAGGAGGGGTTGGTTTTGACGTACAGCTTCAAGGGAGGCATGGCAAGGAGATGACTCCGTTCTCTGTGGCAGGAAGGTAAGCAGTGAGGGCACGGGTGGAAAGAGGGACCAAAGAGAAGACCCAGGAATGCATGTTACTTTGGAGCCTGTAGTGGCCTTATCTACCTCCTGAGTGAGGAAGAAAAGGGGTTGTCATCTTTTATTTTTTTGTTTTTGTAATCAAATATCCTGACAAAAGCAACTTTAATGGACAAAGAGTTTCATTGGCTCACAGTTCCAGGCTACAGCCCATCATGGGGAAGTCAAGGCAGAAACCTGAAGCAACTAGTTTGACCACATCCACGGTCAAGAGCATAGAGAACCCAACGTGGTGGCACACACCTTTAGTCCCATCACTCAGGAGGTAGAAGCAGGAAATCTCCATGAGTTAGAGGCTAACCTGGCTTATACAGTGAGTTCTGGGCTAGCCAGGGCTGCATAGTGAGAGAGAGAGAGAGAGAGGGAGAGAGAGAGAGAGAGAGAGAGAGAGAGAGAGAGAGAGAGAGAGAGGAGGGGGGGGATTATTTGTATCCAATCCTCCTCTGCAAGACTGGTATAATATGAGCCTAGAATCCCCCAGTGAAGGGCTGGGCAGCAAACAGGTCTTCCCACTTTTATTAATGTAATCAAGAGAATCTCCCTCAGACACAGCACCGGCCAAACTGACCGAGACAGTCGTCATTGAGACTCTTAACAGGTGATTCTACATTGTGTCATGCTGACAATTAAAACTAGCCATTCAGACTAATCTCTGTAAATTCAAGACCAGCCTAGTCTACAGAGCAAGTTCCAGGGCAGCAGTGACTACACAGAGAAATGCTGTCTCAAAAATAAAAACAAATAAACCACAACCAAAAACCTAGCCATGGCAGGGGTATCTGAGGAAGGGCGAGTCCGAAGCTGTGGTGGAGGTAAGCCAGATACGCCAACCGTGCTCCCCTGAAAGGACTCACCCTCCATTCTTCCACCCCATCCACAGGGCAGCAAGGAGCGTTTTCACTGGCAGAGTCACAATGTGAAGCAGAGCGGAGTGGACGACATGGTGCTGCTGCCCCAGATCACGGAGGACGCCATTGTGAGCAATCTACGCAAGCGCTTCATGGACGACTACATCTTCGTATCCTCAACAGTGCGAGGCACGGGAGGATGTGGGCAATGGACGTTAGGGTGGTGTCCTGGGACAGGGAAGGCTGCCAAAGGATGGCAGTGCAGGGGGCAGATGGAAGTCCAGCCCAGGGTTGGGGGAGGATGAATAAATGGGGAAAGACGGGCAGATTGAAGGACAGATCATGTAACAAGAGTGCTGTGGTTTGAGATGCCGTAACTGCCGCTGCACCTCTGCCTTGGAGCCCTGAACTACTGTGCCACCAATTCCCCTCTTTCTGCATCCACCCTTCTTTTCCTAAGAGACTCAAGTACATTCAAGTATCTCACCTCTCTCTCCAAGCACAGTGGTTCTGGAAAGTCTTGTTGGAATAGACTAAGGAAAAAAAATATTCGAAAGATAAAGCAAGACACTGCATGGTTCTTAACTACCTCTCAAGACATATATCGGCTCGGTGCTTATCTCTGTAAACCCCTTCAAGCAAATGCCCTACTTCACTGACCGAGAAATTGACCTCTACCAGGGTGCAGTAAGTCCAGGTTGGATGGGTAGAAGTATGCCCACACTTACCCTCTGAGGCATCCAGCTCTGGACTGACCGCTGACCGCCCCCACCAGGCCCAGTATGAGAATCCCCCCCATATCTACGCCCTCACTGACAACATGTACCGGAATATGCTGATCGACTGTGAGAACCAGTGTGTCATTATCAGGTAGGGCGGGGAATGTTCTGTCCAGGCATCCCCACCACCAAGTCTGCCATGATGGTGATGAACCTTTATCCCTATTGCTCTGCCCTCCTTTCTGTATATCCCTTGGCTACCGATAAGGCTCCTAATACAGTGTATCTATTCATTTTATTATTGCCCATTGGTTCCTCCTAAATATCAGCTCCCTGACTGAGGAGACGGCTCAGTAGGTAGGAATGTTTGCTCCTCAAGGAAGAGACCTCTGGGGTCAAATTCCCAGAACTTACATAAAAAGCCAGGCGTGGACACACACCTGTAACTCCAGCACTGGGAGAGATTGAAACAGACAGGTTGCTGGGCTTTTCAGGCCATATGCCTAGCTCCAGATTCAGTGAGAGACCCTGTCTCAAGGTAATAAGGCAGAGAATGATGGGGCAGGGTACCAGATGTCCTCCATTCAGTCTGTGCGTATGGGCACATATACCACAAACATATATAGCACGCTCATAGCACATACACAGACACATAAAGAAGTGTGGGGCATGAATTTTTAAATTTTATTCATTATTTTGTGTGTATGTGTGTGGGTCCATGCATGTCAAGTATGCACGTAGAAGTCAGAAGAAAACTTCCCAGAGTCAGTTCTCTCCTTTCACCATCTGAGGGACTGAACTCGGGTCTTCAAACTTGACGGCGAGACCTGAGCCGTCTTCCCAGCCCAAGAAATTTTTACATTATATCTACTTATTTATTTATATTTACTGGGGTTGCCACATGTCACAGTGCAAGTGTGAAGAGGAATCAGGTCTTTTCCATGAGACTCGGCTTAGCAGCAAGTGTCTCTACGCACTGAGCCATCTCACCAGCCCCTCCTTTTTGGGGGAGAAGAAAGTATTTTTTATTTTAAAAATTACTATTTTTATGTTGCGTGTGCATGATTTGTGTGCAAGCATATCTATGCACCACCTCATGCCTGTTGCTCTCACAGGCTCAAAGAGGCTGCTGAACCGCTCGGAACTGGAGTTATAGTAATGGTTGTTGCCACCCTGTAGGTGCTGAGAAGCAAAGCCATGTCATTTGCAAGAGCAACAAGTGCTGTTTAGTCACTAAGCCATCTTTCCAGCCCCTGGGGCAGGGATTTTTTTTTTAATCTTTCTTGTTCACTGTTGAATTTCTGGAACCTAGAGTAGGGTCTGGTGCACTGTGGGTGCTCAGTAAAAGAATGAAACCATGCATGAATTAATGAATGACTAGACATTAGAAAAGGTGCTTCCCACCATCCCTGCCCACTAACTCTTCCTTCCTCCCACCACCTCCAGTGGGGAGAGCGGAGCTGGGAAGACAGTGGCTGCTAAGTACATCATGGGTTACATCTCCAAGGTGTCTGGTGGGGGTGACAAGGTCCAGGTAAGACAAGAACAGAAGGGTACGTCAGGTCTCCCTCAGTGACACCCGTCTGACCCAGACTGACCTCATTCTACCTGGCTCTATCTACCCTAGCACGTCAAAGACATAATCCTCCAGTCAAACCCACTGCTGGAGGCCTTCGGCAATGCCAAGACGGTGCGCAACAACAATTCCAGCCGCTTCGTGAGTCACCATAACCCCCTTGAGCTGATTCCCTCTAGATACACAGTCACACACGTGTACAGACATGTACATGCATGCAAACAATGCACACACACACATGTACACACATGCATGTGCACAAACATGCATGCTCACACACACATACTTGTGTGGCAAGTACTTTACTCACTGAGGCATCTCCCTAGGCCCTGTGCTTCTTTTTGTGTGTGGGTGCATGCATGCTTAGGTACACATGGGTATGTGCACATGCAAATTTATGCACGTGCGTGTGAATGCCAGAGGTTGACGTTAGGTGTCTCCCTCACCTACTTTTTTTGTTAATACTTATTTTGTATATATGAGTGTCTTGAATGTATGTCTAAGCACCGTGTAAATGTACGGTGCTCTTGTAAGCCAGAAGAAGGCACTGAAATCCCAGGATTGGAGTAACAGACAGTCGTGAGCAGACATGTGGGTTCTGGGCATAGAACGCAAGTCCTCAGGGTTCAGCGGTTAAGAACACTGGCGGCTGAGGACCTGAGTTCAATTCCCAGGACCCAAATGGCAGCTCACAACTGTCTCCAACTTCTGTTCCGGGGCATTTAATGGCCTCATACAGGCATACCTGCAGGCAAAACACCAATGTACATAAAATAAAAACGAATAATTTCAAAAAAATTATCCATAAAATTTTTAAAAAATTAATCCAGATCCTCTGAAAGAGAATCAGCGCTCTTAACTCCTGAACTACAACCACAGGCCTCTCCCTGTCTTGTTTTTTGAGACAAGGCCTCTCCCTGAATGTGGAGTCACCCAAGAAAGATCTGAGCTTAATCTCCAGAACCCATGTAAAAGCTAAATATGCTCTGGTGCAGCCTTTAATCCCAGCACTTGGGAGGCAGAGGCAGGCGGATCTCTGTGAGTTTGAGGCCGGCATGGTCTACAAGAGCTGGCTCCAAAGCTACAGAGAAACCCTGTCTTGAAAAAAAAAAAAGCTAAATATGCTGCACACACCTGTAATTCCCACACTAGGAGACAGACAGGAGGATCCAGACTGAATGACCATCCAGTCTAGGCAAATCAGTGAGCTCTAGAGAAATGAAGTAGAAGGGCTGGAGTAATGGCATTTAGGAGTGTAAGGACCAGAGTTCAGATCCCCAGCACACGAGAAGTGAAGGAAGGGAATATCTGAAGCAAAATGGTTAGCTAAAACTAGTCAAATCAGCAAGCTCTGGGCCTACGAGCCCTTTCCTTGATGCATAAGATGGCAGCAGTCAAGAAAGATACCGATGTTCACCTCTGGCCTTCACCTCACAATCATGCACGCACCCGCATATGCAACACACCCGTGTATTCACACACAAAAGAGGCACAGAAACCTCTGGAATGTGGTGGGGGGAGACTTGAGGAGAGCACAGTTAGCAGGGTTTAGGGCCCCACGGGCGATGCCTGGCCCCACAGTCTGTGCAGCCTAGAGGAAAGACACTGGGAAAGAGGAGCTTAGTCAGAAGTGAGGGGTCAAAAAAATGGCTCAGCAGACACTGCCTCCAAGTTCAATCCTCAGGACCTACACGGTAAAGAACCAACTCCCACAAATTGTTCTCAGATGGGTCCACCCTGTGTTCACCACGGCCTCTCTCTCTCTCTCTCTCTCTCTCTCTCTCTCTCTCACACACACACACACACACACACACACACACACGGACAAGTTAAACATACGTGAGTGGAGACAAGAGAAAGGCAAGTTCAGGTCACAAGAGGAAGAGGAGAAAGGTCAGGCTCATGAGATGGTAATTCTTGCTCTGTCCATACTCCAGGGACTCTGGGATGGGCTAATGTGCTTCTCTGGGATTCAGGGCAAGTACTTTGAGATCCAGTTCAGCCGAGGTGGGGAACCAGATGGAGGCAAGATCTCCAACTTCCTGCTGGAGAAGTCTCGTGTGGTCATGCAGAATGAGAATGAGAGGAATTTCCACATCTACTACCAGGTGCAGGGAGTAGATTGTGGGGCTGGAGGCAGAGGGAGACCCATCTGGATCCCAGGAATGGAGGAAAGCAATGTGGGAAGGGCAGTGTGCGGGAGGGTGGGGCACCGAGGATGGCTGCACCAGGCCAGCTGGAGATGCATGACCTTCCGACATCCTCCAGCTTCTGGAAGGGGCCTCCCAGGAGCAGCAGCAGAACCTAGGACTCATGACACCAGACTACTATTACTACCTAAACCAATCAGACACCTACAAGGTGGAAGGCACTGATGACAAGAGCGACTTCAGCGAGACCCTGGTGAGCACCAACCACCGCTCTGGCTGGCCCAGAGAACCTTCTGTGTGAGACACTTATCCAAGGTTATACAGCAGCTGGATAAAAAAAGGGAGATTATGGAGCTAAGGAGGTGGCTCAGTGGGTAAGGTGCTTGCTGTACAAGCATAAGGACCTGAGTTCAAACCCCAGCACATTAAAAAGGTGGGTATGGCAGCACATGCTTATATCCCAGCACTGGGACTGCAGAGACAGGCAGATCCCCAGGGTTCCCTGGCCATCTCGTCTGGTCAAATCAGTGAGCTTCAGGACTAGTAAGAAACTCTCAAAGATAAGGTGAAGAGCTGGGAAGAAGATTCGGAAGGCAAGTCCGATGAGCTGAGTTTGGATTGCAAGCGTGTGTAACCCCAGTGATTCTGTGGAGAATGGAAGGTGAGATAGGAGAATGTCCAGCGCTCATGAGCCAGCTGGCTTAGCGTATGCGGCAGCAATGAGTCTGTCTCAAACTGAGTGGAAAAATGAGAACAGACAGGCGCAGATTGCCTTCTGATCTCCAGACATGCTGTGGCACACACATGAATTCTCACACACACACACACACACACACACACACACACTCTTTTTAAACTTGGAGAACAATAGAGGAATACACGCAATGTAACCCTCCAGCCTTCAGATGTACCTGCTTTTACACATACATGTGCAGCCGTCACATGCGCACATGCACAAACATACAAACACATACACATGTGTACACCACACACACACACGCACAAGGCAAACCAGGTGGTTGGGGAAATGCAGTCTCGCCTATTTTTCGAGAAAACAAGGCATATGGTACCCGAGGAAGGACCCCCAAGGTTGACCTCCGGCCTTCACACACACATGAACACACATGAAGAGCACACACACAAAGCAAAATCAGGCATCCAAATGTCTGGTCTCCCTGAGTCCAGGCTGTGAGCCCAAGAGTCTAAATCTGCAGTCAGGATGCTGTGAACCCAGAGATCTAATTCTGTGGTCAGAGTGAAATCCAAACCTGGTGGCATAAGCTGTCCCCGTTGTGCCCACAGAACGCCATGCATGTCATTGGGATTCCAGCCAGTGTGCAGCAGCTCGTCCTGCAGCTTGTGGCAGGGATCCTGCACCTGGGGAACATCAGCTTCTGTGAAGAAGGGAACTATGCCCGTGTGGAGAGCGCAGACCGTGAGTGTGGGTGCTGTCGAGAACTGGGTGTGAGGCTCGTGCATTAGGACTGCTTCTTCCCACTCTGATCCCATGAGAGCCATGTTGGTGTCACTGCGGAAGCTCCTATGTCCTGAGAGCCTGACCAGCTGCTTCCTTTTGCTTTGGTCTGGCAGTCTTGGCCTTTCCAGCCTACCTGCTGGGCATAGACAGTGGGCGACTGCAGGAGAAGCTGACCAGTCGAAAGATGGACAGCAAATGGGGTGGACGCAATGAGTCCATTGATGTGACCCTCAATGTGGAGCAGGCAGCCTACACTCGTGATGCACTGGCCAAGGGGCTCTATGCCCGCCTCTTCGACTTCCTGGTGGAGGTGAGTGGGGCCAGCACTAGAAAGCTCTGGATGCCTGGTGCCTCACAAGCCCACGGCATTTGGACAGACAAGTGGAAAGGCAGGCTTGACTTGCCCATCTCACCAATTCATAAGGAGGTGAAGGGCAGCCCCATCACAGTGGTGGTGATAGAGAAGGCTGGGTGTGCTTGCGAGCTAATATGGTTGTCAAGGAGACAAAGGGATGGTATGGAGCTGGGTGAGGTGAGTGAGCCAGCGATAATCACAGCACTAACAAACGTGTAACAGTTAGTGGGGCCAGACATGGTGACGCACACCCGTAATCTCAGCACTCAGAAGCCTGAGGCGGGAAGAGTCCAAGGACAGTTTGGGCTGCATAGAATGACCCTATGGTATGTATTATTTTGAGACAGGATCTCATTATGTAGCACAGAGCCTGGAACTCTCTATGGAGACTAGGCTGGCCTCAAACTCACAGATATTAGCGCTCTGTCTCCCGAATGCTGGGATTAAAGGCATGCACCACTATGCCGGACATTTCTTTTTAAGTAGGAGCTGTGGAGAGACCTCTGTCGATGAAGTGCTTGCTTTGCGAGCATGGGGACATGAGTTCTGTCTCCAGACCCATATTACATTTATTTCTTTACTTTGTGTGCATGTGTGTGTGTGTTCATGCTTCAACACATGTGTGGGTGTTAGAGGTTGACTTGAGGGGCCTGGTGCTCCTTCCCCCATATGGGTTCCTGAGATCAGGCTCACATCATCCGCCATCAGCAAGCATCTTTACCTACTGAGCCTTCTTCTCAGCCCAGCACTTTTATACAAAAAAAAAAAAAAAAAAAGCCAGGCATGAAGCTGAGGACTCAGTGGATAAAGGAGTGAGTGTCTCACCAAGGCTGCTATGGCATGCAAGTGTGCGCCTCTCTCTTTCTCTCCCTCTCCCTCTAATAAATAAAATGTGATTTCAAAAACTGTTAAGCCAGACATGGTGCATTTATAGTCTTAGAGCTGGGAGGCAGAGAGAGGCAGATCCCTGTTGTCCAGCCTCACCTACTTAGAGAGTTCCAGACTTCAAAGAGAGCCTGTATCAAATAAAAAGCTAAAAACAAAAACCAAGATACCTGAGAAACAGCACCCAAGGTTTGCTGTTCTCTAGCCCCACATGCACACAAATGTCTATGTATGTATGTATGCATGTGCGTGTATGTATATGTATGTGTATATGTATATATGTGTATGTATTATATATCTATGTATGTATATATGTGTTGTGTATGTGTGCATATGTAAGTATGTATATGTGTGTGTATGTATGTATGTATATATGCACACCTGAACACATACACACACGCTTTTGCACAAACACAAACTCACACACAAAATTATATGCCAAGCCTCCTTCCCAGTATATTAAGTATGTAAAGCAACTTTTTAATGTACATTTTTTAAATTCCATAAGGTTGCAAAGTGTTCAGTGATAAAATTCATGAGGTCCTTGGTTCTCTTTCCAACATGACAAACAAATGTACACACGCGTGCATGCATGAACACATACACACACATGAGAAAGGAGGGGGGAAAGTTCCTATGAAGTATAGGTTGAACATCTCTAGTTTGAAAATCCCAAAATGCAAAAATACTTCGAAATTCCAAACTTTTGAACACCAACATAAAACTAGAAGTGGAAAATTCTGTCTCTGATCCCATGTGGCTCTCAGCTAAAACCCAGCTGTAGGGGCTCAGCAGTTAAGAGAGAGCCAGGAGGTGGCGGTGCACACCCTTTATCTCAGCACCCAGGAGGAAGAGTGGGTGGCTCTCTGTGGTCTAGAGAACTAGTTCTAGGACAGCCAGAGCTACACAGTGAAACCCTGTCTCAAAAAACTGAGAGAGGGGGCTGGAGAGATGGCTCAGAGGTTAAGAGCATTGCCTGCTCTTCCAAAGGTCCTGAATTCGCTTCCCGGCAACCACATGGTGGCTCACAATCATCTGTAATGAGGTCTGGTGCCCTCTTCTGGCCTGCAGACATACACACAGACAGAATATTGTATACATAATAAATAAACATTTAAAAAAAACTGGGAGAGGGAGGGAGGGAGGGAGAGAGGGAGGGAGGGAGGGAGGGAGGGAGGGAGGGAGGGAGGGAGGACTGCTCTTGTAAAAACCAGGTTCAATAAGCAGCATCCACACGTTGGCTCACAATCACCTGTAACTCCTGTTCCAGGGGATCATTCGCCCTCTTCTGGCCTCTTCTTGAACTGCATGTACGTTGGGCACAGACATTCATTTATGTAGACAAAACACCCATACACATAACATAAAAACAAATAAATCTTTTCTTAACTAAATAAATCTTTAAAACAAAAAAATGTGCACTAAAATTAGTGTATAAAGTACATATGAAGTGTAAGTGAATGTCAGGTTTAAACTTGGGTCTTGCTGGGCATGATGGAACACAGCTTTAACACCACCACACAGGAGGCAGAAGCAGACAGATCTCGGGGAGGGCAGCCTGGTCTACATAGTGAGTTCCAGGAACACCAGCGCAACATAGAGTGACCTTATCTCCAACAATAAACAAACAAAATTTGACCTCATGCTCCAAATATTGCATGTTTCTCAGAACCAAAATGCAAAACAGTTCTTGCTCTAAACATTTCCAGTCACAGATCATCAAAGTTCAATGCCTTTTAATTAATTAATTTTGTGGTAGTGGAGATGGAATCCAGGGATTAAAGTGTACTATGCAAAGTACCCTACTGCTATTACGTGTGTGTGTGTGTGTGTGTGTGTGTGTGTGTGTGTGTCTGTCTGTCTGTCTGTCTGTCTGAGACAGGATCTCCAGTAATCCAGGCTGGACCGGAGTGAATGTAAGACATATATGTGCAGATGCCCACATGGTACGTCAAATTCTCTGGAACTGTCATGTCAGGTGGCTGTGGGTGCTGAGTATGGAACTTGTGTCCTCTAGAAGAGAGCCACCTTCCCAGTCCTTCAGATATTTGACTTTAAGGAAAGCTCCTGCCCTGTACCCCAGCCTGTCCTGGAACCCATGCTCCAGCTCACAAGTCCTTCTACCTCAGCTTCCTGAGTGCTAGGATTACAGTCTCTAGCCATCATGTGTAGCTATCAATCCATTTTAGAGATGAGAAACTTGAGGTACAGTGGAAATATTTGACTCTAAAGTCAAGAATTGTGATACTTCTGCACTTGGGTTTGCAGGTGGGAGTTAAATATTAGAGAAAATCTGTCAAGAGGGGACACAGTCACAAGTTTAGCTAGAAACACACTGACAAGGTGGCTAGGTAAGGCATTTGCTGCCAAGCCTAACAATGAGTTCTAGCCCCACAACCCACATGATAGAAGTGGATAATGGACACCTGAAGTTGTCCTTTGACCTCTACACACGTGACCTAGCATGCACACACACACGCACACACACACATGCACGCACACACGCACGCACACACACACATGCACGCACACACGCACGCAAGCACACACATGCACGCACACACGCACGCACACACACACATGCACGCGCACACACGCACGCACACACGCACGCACACACATGCACACATGCACACGCACGCACACACACACACATACTATTTATGTCAAACTGAGTTCAGATTCCAGCACTCATATAACAACCACAGCCCAGTACTATAAGGGAGTAGGGACAGGAGGATTGCTGGGATTGCTGACTGCCGGCCTCACTCCAGGGTTAGTGAAAGACCCTGTCTCGAAGGAATAACATAGAGTATGATAAAGGGCACCGAGTACCCTCCCCTGGTCTCCACGCACATATGTGCACACAACACACACACACACACACACACACATTAGAAAAAAGCAGTTTCCAGAACATAACAAGAGGGGGATGACTGCGGCCCTGTCTCCATCTGCTCAGGCCATCAACCGCGCCATGCAGAAACCTCAGGAAGAGTACAGCATCGGTGTCCTCGACATCTACGGCTTTGAGATCTTCCAGGTTCGGCCTGGGACCTCCCCCTTCCATCTTCAGCCCAACCCTATTCTACCTATCGTCCTGGGCTCACCCAGTGTCAGCACAGTCCACTAACAGAAAGGTCCTTTTCTTTCCTCTGCAGAAAAATGGCTTTGAGCAGTTCTGCATCAACTTCGTCAATGAGAAGTTACAGCAGATTTTTATTGAGCTCACCCTGAAGGCGGAACAGGTGGGCTGGGCAGTCAAGAGACAGAAGACAGGACTTCACCTCTCTCTGTTTACTGTTACTATAACAAAATACCAGACATAATCAATTTATAAAGAGAAAAGGGAGGCTGAGGATGTGGCTCAGTTGGTGGAGAGCATGCATGAAGCCACCCCCAGCTGGATAGACTGGGTGTGGTGGCACATGCCTGTCATCCCAACACTCAGGAAGCTGGTGCAGGGATGTCTAGTGAGACCCCATCTTGGAAAATAGAGCTGGGTGTAGCAGTGAACAACTTTAATCCCAACACTCACTCACAAGGCAGAGGCAGGTGGATCTCTGTGATCTAAAGAGTCCTAAGACAGCCAGGGCTACACAGGGAGGCCTTGTCTCAAAATAGAAAGAAAGAAAGAAAGAAAGAAGTAGAAGGAAAAGAAAGAAAAAAAAACAGTTGTTTGAGCAAGTGCTCTGTGCCAGGTACTGTTGACACATGCGTAGAGGAGTAGGGACAACACAGAATCTCTGTGGAGGCCTCTTGAGCATGTATGTAACACAGATCAGTAGGAGACCAGCTTGGCTTGCTGGGTTCCAACCCCAGCATCTGAAAAGGAAAACAAATCTGCTTTGATTCCACCTCTCTTTTAAATGCACAGCCTAAGGCAAAAAGAAAGGGCAATGAAAAGGTGATTTAAAGTAAACTTTAAAAGGTCCCTAGGCTGGGGATGTAGCTCAGTGGGTAGAATGGCTGGCCTCCCACACACAAAGCCCTGGGTTCCAACCCCAGAACAAGATACACCAGGTGCAAAGGTGTACAGTGGTCACCCCAGCACTGAGAGGGGGAGGCAAGAGGAGTCAGATGGTTACATACTGAGTTAGGGGCAGCCTGAACTACATGAGACCCGTCTCAAAAAATAAAAAATAGAGTCCAAAGCCCAAAGAGGTCTTCCTGAGCAGGTTGTGTTTGCAACCGGTCCCTGATTCTGCTGAGTCCCAGAGAAGGTGTCACAAAACACCACAGAGTTGGCCTAGGAAAGGAATGAGGGCTCCGGGTATTTACAGCTCCCGAGGTGAGTGACGAGATGGGAGTGGGGGGCCGGGCAGGTGGCTCATTGCCTCACTGCACCCCCAGGAGGAGTATGTGCAAGAGGGCATCCGCTGGACCCCCATCGAGTACTTCAACAACAAAGTCGTGTGTGACCTCATCGAAAACAAGCTGGTGAGGCCTGGGTGACTTTAGAAGGGACAATCTTCCAGCCACCCCATCCACCGATTCTTCTGTCCACCTTTCATTCATTCAGCAAACACTCCCATACGTAACATTTTCAGACTAACGGAGATCCCCCCAGTTATACCAGTGTGGTGTTAGGAGAAAAGGCATGGATTCCCTGAACTCCAGAAGGGGGAGGAGAGAAGAGAGGAAAGTGGGGCAGAGGGGAGGGCATAGGGAAGGGAAGAAGAAAGAGGAAAGATCACAATTTGAGCTTGTATTTAGGAGTCCCCTACCAGCCCCCCAGCTTTCCCGGAAGGACCCCAGACAGGCTGAGCCGAACCTCTGCTCCCCTCAGAACCCCCCAGGCATCATGAGCGTGCTAGACGACGTGTGCGCCACGATGCATGCAACTGGCGGTGGCGCGGACCAGACGCTGCTGCAAAAGCTGCAAGCTGCAGTGGGCACCCACGAGCACTTCAACAGCTGGAGCGCGGGTTTCGTCATCCATCACTACGCAGGCAAAGTGCGTGGAACTCCCTGGGTGGGCGCCCCCTCACAAATCCCAGGGGTTCCCGGTTGTAAATCCTACCCTCCGCCCTGGGACCAAGCTCCCCCTCCAGAGCACCCCCTGCTGACCAGAACCAGGAACTTTCTCCTAAATTACCTGGACACCTACCTTGTGTCCACTCAGCCAGGGCTGCAGACACACACTGGCCTCTAATCAGTTTACCCAGTTAACAAGGCAGCTCCTAACTGACGAGACAGGTGGAACTCAACTGGGACAACAGATTACCACGGTTCTTCTATGCTGACACACATAGCCAGCGCTCAATATAATCCTCTGACCCTTTACAAACAAAATGGGCTGGAGCCTGTTTGCCTCAGACCTACATGAGGCTACAGGCACGCCCTAGTTTCTGACCCAAGCTATCGACTCCTCTCCAAGAGTTTCCTGGCTGTTCCCACAACCTCTGTCCACAGAGGCGCTGTCTGTGTTCCACAGAGGCACTGTCTGTGTTCCACAGCTAAAGCTGCAAACATCAGGAGCAAAACCACTAGAAGACCTCACTCAAAACAGCCACCCCAGCCCACCCTCGGGACTGAAGCTCCTTTCCCCAAAATCCACTGTGGTCTCAGGATGGCCACACACATCTCTAGTCCCAGCACTTGGGAAGTGGAAGCCGAAAGAGAAGGGGTTCAGGGCCATCCTTAGCTATGTAGGACCTCCTGAGACCCTGTCTCAAAGAAAGAGACAGAAGGAAGAAAAAGAAAAAAAAAGGAAGGAAGTAAAGAAGGAAGGAAGAAAAAGAAAAGATAGAAAAGAGAAAAAAGAAGCCAAAACCAAACATATATATATATCCCATCATGGTGGCTCACGCCTTTAACTCCAGCATCCCAGAGGCAAAGGCAGTCAGATCTCTCTGAATTCAAGGCCATCCTGATCTACAGCTGGGCTACACAGTGAGATCCTGTATCAAAAAATAAATAAATAATAAAAATATTCTGGGAGCTAAGGAAATGGACCAATGAAGTGCAAGCATGAGGCCCCACGTCTAGATGCCCAGCACCCCAGCAAAACCAGACCCAGTGGCTTGCTCCAGCACTGGCAGGAGACAGGAGACCCTGGGACTTGTTGGCCAGCCAGGTTAGTCAATCAGCAAGTTCTAGGTTCAGTGAGAAACCCTGTCTCAAAACAAAAACAAAAACAAAAAAAAAAGGTGGAGAATCATTGAGGAAGACAGCCCACATCCACTCTAGGTCCCCACACATATGAGGACAGATAAACAGCCTAACCTCCCTGGCAGCGCCTAGGGACCTGGCCTAGTTTCAATCCCCTTCCCTCAAGTTCGGTCTATAACTTCCCACCTTCCCCTGCCACTGACCAAAACTTCAGCCCTGGCACTCAACCCGGTGTCTCCCCTTACCTCCAGCTCCAGGCTTCATCCTTCCACTTCAGTTGAGCATCAGACTTCTGGGGAGCCAGGCCCCAAACAGTAGGTCACACCCTACCATTGGAATCACAGATGTTTTCCTAACTGCCGTAGCTCCAGTCCTCTCAGCCCTGACATCCTCACACGACTCTCCTTGCTCCTCACCAACCCTCAGCGCTGTCTCCCTCCAGGTCTCCTATGACGTCAGTGGCTTCTGTGAGAGGAATCGAGATGTTCTGTTCTCCGATCTTATAGAACTGATGCAGTCCAGTGATCAGTGAGTAGTCCTTGTGCGGCCGCTGGGCAGACCCTCAGAAGGAGGACAGCCTGGGAACTGCTGGGTCGTGCCGTGGGCTTTGTGTCCCTGGTTGTGGTCAAGATACAGTTCTAATCTAAAGCTCTGAGGGTCTAACTCAGGATGAGTGATTCCCCCTCCACAGAGTGTGGGAGCTTGAACTCCAGTTCTAGGACAGAAAAAAGGCAAAGAAAAGAAACTTCTAAACCTTGATCTACTGACAGAAGGTCCCTCCCCAGGGGAAGCCCTGAGTTCAGTTCCCTTCATGTCTCATCTGTAGAACTCCTCGCAGTCCTAACAGTTCAGTGACTAGTTAGCTGCTCACAGTCCTAACAGTCCGGTGACTAGTTAGTTAGCCGCTCGCAGTCCTAACAGTCCGGTGACTAGTTAGCCTCTCACAGTCCTAACAGTCCGGTGACTAGTTAGTTAGCCGCTCGCAGTCCTAACAGTCCGGTGACTAGTTAGTTAGCCGTTCGCAGTCCTAACAGTCCAGTAACTAGTTAGTTAGCTGCTCGCAGTCCTAACAGTCTGGTGACTAGTTAGTTAGCCGCTTGCAGTCCTAACAGTCTGGTGACTAGTTAGTTAGCCGCTCGCAGTCCTAACAGTCCAGTAACTAGTTAGTTAGCTGCTCACAGTCCTAACAGTCTGGTGACTAGTTAGTTAGCCGCTCACAGTCCTAACAGTCTGGTGACTAGTTAGCCGCTCGCAGTCCTAACAGTCTAGTAACTAGTTAGTTAGCCACTCACAGTCCTAACAGTCTAGTAACTAGTTAGCCGCTCGCAGTCCTAACAGTCTAGTAACTAGTTAGTTAGCCGCTCACAGTCCTAACAGTCCAGTAACTAGTTAGCCGCTCGCAGTCCTAACAGTCTGGTGACTAGTTAGTTAGCCGCTCGCAGTCCTAGCAGTCTGGTGACTAGTTAGTTAGCCACTCGCAGTCCTAACAGTCTGGTGACTAGTTAGTTAGCCGCTCGCAGTCCTAACAGTCCAGTAACTAGTTAGTTAGCCGCTCGCAGTCCTAACAGTCCAGTAACTAGTTAGTTAGCCGCTCACAGTCCTAACAGTCCAGTAACTAGTTAGTTAGCCGCTCGCAGTCCTAACAGTCCGGTGGCTAGTTAGCAGCTCGTCAAGCGAAATGAAAATACATTCCAGGGGTGGGGACTCAGCTCAGTCGGTATGCTAGGCACGTCCTGGGTTCCCTCCCAGGACTGTAAAACTAGACACTCAGGAGGTGGAGGTGGGAGGTGAGTTCAGGGCCATCCTGGGCTCCATGAGACCCTGCCTCAAAAGGAGAGGGACTTGGGGTGTAGCTCAGATGGTAGATTTCTTGCCTAAAATACAGGAAGTCCTTGATTCCATCACGGGTACCTCAGACAACCATGCCAGCACTTGGAGGGTAACTTGTGATCGTCAACTCACTTTTAGAGGTCAGTCTCCGCTTCCTCAGAACTCAGACGATTGCCATGCGTGGCTGTGCTTGGCCTATGTGGTGCTGAAGACAGAATCCAGAGCTGTATTCAGGCAAAGCAACCGCCTACCAACTAATCCATACCGCAGCCCCCTGTTTGTTGTTTTACAACAGGGTTCTCTCTCATGCCATACATGATGGTGCATGCTTCTAATACCCGCGCTTGGGAGGCAAGGGCAAGTAGATCTCCATGAGTTTGAGGCCAGCCTGGTCTATATAGTGAGTTCCAGGACAGAGCACAGCCAGGGCTATGTAGAAAGACCAAGTCACAAGAAAAAAAAGTCTCATATAGCCCATGCTGGCCTTGAAGTTCCTCAGTGCTGGGGTGGCAGTGTGCACCCCACATTATGCACATGTTCCTGTTGTAATTAACATACCAAGGGACTTGTCATTATCATAGAGTAAGACTAAAAAATGCAGATAAATCCAAAGACCCAAGAAACACTGCCAGCCTCACAGCCTCTGCCCACATTCAGGGGGAACTGTTGCAACTGGGCAGCAGCAGGCTGCTTCCCACCACCCGGCTAGCTTAACCCCCGAAATAACCACACACAAATTGTATTCATTTAAACACTGCCTGGCCCAGTAGGTCTAACCTCTTATTGGCTAATTCTCACATATTCGTTTAACCCATCTCCATTAGTGTGTATCGCCACTTGACTGTGGCTTACCGGCATGAGTCTAACCAGTGTCCTTCTTGGAGAGGAGAGCCATGGTGTCTACCACACTGCCTTCTTCCTCCCAGAATTCTGTTCTGTCTACCATGCCCATCTAAGGGCTGGCCTATCAAAAAGCCAAGGCAGCTTCTTTATTTAACCAATGAAAGCAACAGAAATACAGAAGAACCTCCTACACCAGAGAACCCTATTTGCATCTTGGCACTGAGGCAACCATTACAACTCTGAGGGAGGCAGGACAATGTCCCAGGGTCTGTCTTCATTCCCATCCACTCCTCTCTCCTCCTAGAGCCTTCCTACGGATGCTCTTTCCTGAGAAGCTAGACACAGACAAGAAGGGCCGCCCCAGTACTGCTGGCTCCAAGATCAAGGTGAGTCTGGTGGCAGGGAGGGGACAGGAAAGGCAAGTTCTGCTTGCCAAGACTCTTTCTCTCCTTGTTCAAACATCTGTCTGTTCTCTACTGCTTGGGTTCTCAATGTCTGTGGCACCCTTTGACCTACAGTCTTCCTTCAGCTCTGTAAGAAGGAAGATGGGCTAAAGCTTGGTCCATCTGTCCTTCCTTTTCTTCCTTCTCTCCTTCATTTCCCTTTCCCCATTTCCCTCCCTGTCTCTGTTCTTCCTCTCCCTCTTTCCTTCACTTCCCATCTCTCCCCCTTTCTCTGCCCTCCCTTCCTATCCCCCTACCTTCCTATCCTCTACCTTCTAACTTTCCCTCCCCACCCTTGTCTGGCTCTTTTCCCTCTTTCTGTCCCTCCATTTTCCCTCCCTCCCTTTCTTCCTGTGCTTGGGAACAGAACCCAAGGTCTTGCACATGCTAAGCATGCATGCTATCCTTGGATGACACTTTCCAGACCACTTCTTTTAAAAGGTACACACACACACACATGTAATAGACTGGGCTAGCTTACCCATTTTACGTGTGCAGTTCAGTGACATTGGCTATTTCACAGCCATCTCCAAAGTTTCTCATCTTTCCAAACCCAGACTCTGTCCCCATTCACAACTAACTCCCTGGCCCCTCTTTCTCTTTCTTCTTCTTCTTCTTCTTCTTCTTCTTCTTCTTCTTCTTCTTCTTCTTCTTTCTTCTTCTTCCCCTCCTCCTCTTCCCCCCTCCTCCCCCTCCTTCTCCTCCTTCTCCCTCCTCCCTCCTTCTCCTTCTTGTTCTTCCTCCTCCTCCTCTTCCTCCTCCTCCTCCTCCTTCTTCTTCTTCCTCTTTCCCCTCCTTCTCCTCCTTCTCCTCCTTCTCCTCCTTCTCCTCCTTCTTCTTTCTCCTCCTCCTCTTCCTCCTCCTCCTCCTCCTCCTTCTTCTTCCTCTTCCCCCTCCTTCTCCTCCTCCTTCTTCTTTGTTTAGTTTTTTGAGACAGGGTTTCTCTGTGTAACAACCTTTGCTGTCATGGAATTCACTCTGTAGGCCAGGCTGGTGTTGAACTCACAGATATTCACCTGCCTCTGGCTCCCAAGTGCTAGGATTAAAGGCGCGTGCACCACCACCTGGCTAGCCCTTCCTGAATAAGATCCTGCTGTGTGGATTACCACACATTCACCGTGCAGAAGGGCTGGGTCCACCTTCTGCTGAGGGTGAATAACGCTGCAAAGACCCTGTGGCCCCACCGAAAGCCTGCGTTCGCAACCGTTTGTTGAGGACTTTGGGATGATAGCAGATGCAGGACCCTCACACATACACACGTACATGCTGATGGAGATGCCACAGTAGAGTTTGTACCTGAATATCTTATCTCCCTCCCCTAGTCATCACTTGGCCCCACAGCTTTCTCCTGATGACTAATTACTCCAAAACCCAAGGCTGACCTGTCCACCCCACCCCACCTGCAAATTCTTTATTTCCAAAGTAGCTGTCTCCTTGAAGACAAACAGAAAGTCTGGGCAGTGAGTTGTTCTGGTTTTTCTATTACTCAGTCATCAAACATCTCCTAAACCCTTATTATGTCTTAAGCTATGTGGTAAGTGTGGCAGACACTAGAACTCTGAGTTTGGAATTTAATAACTGGGTAGGTGCACAATATCAGCCTTCAAGGTGGGAACTTAGGGCGGTGTGCACACTGTGGCCTGCCCGCTCAGCCTCCCCGCTCTTGGATGAGTTGTTTCTTCAACAGGAAGAGCCAGGGGGCCTATCTTCAAGCCTTCCTGACTTCTGCCTTTCCCTCTGCCTCAGAAACAAGCCAATGACCTGGTGTCCACGCTGAAGAAGTGTACACCCCACTATATCCGCTGCATCAAACCCAATGAGACCAAGCGGCCCCGGGACTGGGAGGAGAGCAGGTGAACTGACCCCTCCTTTGCATCTGGTACCAAATCTAGGCATGCTTTGGAGCAGCCACCCTGACCCACAGACAAAGCACCAACTTTAGGACCCCTCACTCTAAGATCACCTTAGAATCCTCTAGGGGGTCAGTGAGACACACAGCAGGTGAAAGTGTTTGCTGCCAAACCTGGATTCAATCCTGGGCTCCACACAATGGAAGGAATGAGTCAACACCTGCAAGTTCTTCTCTGATGGCCACATGCATACTGTGACCTGTGACACGCACACACATGCGCATGCGCACACACACACACCAATAAAAATGTAAAACCTCTATGGCCCCAGAGTTATAGATAGAACTAATGGAGGCACCCCCACCAATCCCCAGGTAACCCCAGACAGACTGTAAGAGAATCCAAACCCAATTTCTCAGACCTAAACTCCAGAACTGATTCTAGAACCAACCCCCAAGATGAGCCCAGACCTACCCCTCAGGTCTCAGTCCAAGATTTGGTTCCCAGATTGAGCTGAGACACCGTCTAAACCATGCCCAAGCTTCACATGGTGGCTCATGTATTCTTTTCTCAGCCTTGGGAGGCAGAAGCTAGAGGATCTCATATTCAAGGGAAACCTAGGCTGCACAGAGCAACACTAGCCACAGACAGACAAACAGACATATAGACAGTCAGATATGTAGACAATAGATAGGCCATAGATAGGCAGATGACAGGTATAGATAGGTAATAAAAAATAGATAACATATATTGATAGCGAAATACATAGCTAATAGATAGATAGATAGATAGATAGATAGATAGATAGATAGACAGATAGATATAATAGACAGACAGACAGACTGACCGACCGATCCATGAGATGCCCCTACCACAAACCCAGGCCCCATCCCCTTGGTCTGCTTTGGGCAGCTCCCACTCTCTGGAACTTAGGCTACCTCCCTCCCACAGGGTGAAGCACCAGGTGGAGTACCTGGGCCTACGGGAAAACATCCGGGTGCGCAGGGCAGGCTTTGCCTACCGTCGGCAGTTCTCCAAGTTCCTGCAGAGGTGACGCACCCGTCTTCCTTGCCTTGATTACCTCACCTATTAAAATGGCCAACCTCAGGTCTGCTCCAAATCCCCCACACCCTCATGTCTTCTGCCTGCAGGTATGCCATTCTGACCCCTGAGACATGGCCACGGTGGCGTGGAGATGAACGCCAGGGAGTCCAGCACCTGCTTCGTGCTGTGAACATGGAGCCAGACCAGTACCAGATGGGGAGTACCAAGGTCTTTGTTAAGAACCCGGAGTCGGTGAGTGTGTGTGACAGAGAGAAAGTTCTGGGTCAATCCCCAGAACTCACATAAAGGTGGACAGAAAAAACAGGCTGTACAAGCATGTCGTCTTCTGACCTTCACATACGCACCATGGGACTCCTGCACTGCACTGCCACACTGTACACACACGAGCACACAGACACACACATTCACACATGCATACACACAGACACACACATTCACACACAGACACACACACATTCACACACAGACACACACATTCACACACAGACACACACAGACACACATTCACACACAGACACATTCACACATGCATACACACACATTCACACATGCATACACACACATTCACACATGCATACACACAGACACCCACATTCACACATGCATACACACACACACATTCACACACAGATACACACACATTTTAAAAGGTGAAATATAAGAGTATAAGAAAATAAAGAGGGAGCTGGGCAATGATGGTGCACGCCTTTAATCCCAGCACTAGAGAGACGGAGGCAGGTGGATCTCCAAGTTCGAGGCCAACCTGGTCTATAGAGTGAGTTTCAGCATAGCCAGGGCTACCAAAAAAAATACCGTCTCAAAAAATCAAATAAACACACAAACAAACAAACAGGAAGAGGAGAGCAGGAGGGAAAAAGGGGGACGAGGTTGAGGTTGGGGATACAGCTCAGTTACACAGCATTTGCCTAACATGGGTTTCGTCTCCAGTGAGAGAGAGAGAGAGAGAGAGAGAGAGAGAGAGAGAGAGAGAGAGAGAGAGATATATGCATTGCTAGGTGTGGCGGCGCACAACACCAAAATCCCAGCCTTCTAGAGGCTGAGGCAGAAGAGCCGGGGATTCCATGCAGCTTAGTGTCCCCCAAAGGTTTAACTGAGACAAAAATTTTGACATATAGATCTTGATTTTGGGGAAATGGACCAGATGAGAACAATGAACACATGATGAGTTTGTGTTCAGTTTTTATCAGCATGGGGGGGGGGAATGAATTATTTGTTGAGTTTTTTTGTTTTTGATAAGGTCTCCTTATGCAGCCCTGGCTGGCCTGAAGTTGTTACTTCCACGAGGCTGGCCTGGAACTCACAGAGATCCCCCTGCATGCGGGAATTAAAAGTGTGCACCAGCTGGGTGTTGTAGCACGTCCTTTTAAGCTTGCTGTCACTCAGGAGGCCAGCCTGGTCTACATTGTGAGTTCCAGGACAGCCAGGGCCGTGTAGAAAGATTCTGCAGATAGAAAGATAGATAGATAGATAGATAGATAGATAGATAGATAGATAGATGATAGATAGATGATTGATAGATAGATAGATGATAGATAGATGATTGATAGATAGATAGATAGATAGATAGATAGATAGATAGATAGATGATAGATAGACAGACAGAAAGACAGACAGATAGATGATAGATAGATAGATAGATAGATAGATTGATAGATAGATGATAGATAGATAGATAGATGATAGATAGATAGATAGATAGATAGATAGACAGACAGAAAGACAGACAGATAGATGATAGATAGATAGATAGATTGATAGATAGATAGATAGATGATAGATAGACAGACAGACAGACAGAGAGATAGATAGATAGATGATAGATAGATTGATAGATACATAGATGATAGATAGATAGATAGATAGATAGATATGATAGATAGATGATAGATAGATAGATAGATAGATAGATAGATAGATAGACAGATGATAGATAGACAGACAGACAGATAGATAGATGATAGATAGATTGATAGGTAGATGATAGATAGATAGATAGATAGATAGATAGATAGATAGATAGATAGATGATAGATAGATGGATAGATGATAGATAGATGATAGATAGATAGATGATAGATTGATGATAGATAGATAGATAGATAGATAGATAGATGATAGATAGATGATAGATAGATAGATGATAGATAGATAGATAGATAGATAGATAGATAGATAGATAGATGATAGATAGATGATAGATAGATAGATAGATAGATAGATGATAGATAGATAGATGATAGATAGATAGATGATAGATAGATAGATAGATAGATGATAGATGATAGATAGATAGATAGATGATAGATAGATGATAGATAGATAGATAGAGATAGAGAGATAGGCAGGCAGATTAGATAGATTTCTTTTTAGATTTTCCTTATTTTATGTGTATGGATGCTTTGCCTACATGTCTCAGTACGATGTACATGCAGTGCCTGTAGAGACCAGAAGAGGGCGTCAGATCCCCTAGACTGGAGGCATAGACTGTTGTGAGCTGCCTGCCATGTTGAGACTAGGTAACAAACGGGGTCATCTGGAAAAGCAGCCAGTGCTTTTAACCACTGAGCTCCAACACGAAATATTTTTATGGTATGGGGGACTGACTCAGATGAAAGGAATTTTAGTAAGATGAAAGTGGAAAAACAAAGGTAGATGGGGCTAGAAAGATGGCTCAGCCGCTAAAGAGCACTCACTGCCGCTGCAGAAGACGCCTGGTTCACAGCCTCCCATGCCTTTTCTTTCCTTGGGCACTGCATGCACGTGGTACACAGATAGTCGTGTGGGCAAAACACCCAATACATACAATTAAAAATAAACAAGCCGGGCGGTGTGGTGCACACCTTTAATCTCAGCACTCAGGAGGCAGAGGCAGGAGACTCTCCATAAATTCGAGGCCAGCCTGCTCTACAGAGTGAGTTCCAGGACAGCCAGGGCCACACAGTGAGACCCTGCCTTAAAAAACAAACAAAAAGAAAGAAATCTTTTAAAAAGAAAAACAAAAGTAGAAAAAAATGGCTGAAAGAAAAGGCTGGGTTGTTGATATGTCTCAGAGGATTAAGCCTCTTGCCAAGCTTGACATCCAAATTTGGCAAAAGGTGAGAACTGACTCCCAAAAGCTGTCCTTTGGCTTCCGCGAGTTCATCCCAGCAGCACACAGACACACACACAGACACACACACACACACAGACACACACACACAGACACATACACACACACACAGACACATACACAGACACACATACAGACACACACACACAGACACACACACACAGACACACACACACACACAGACACATACACACACACAGACACATACACACACACAGACACATACACACACACAGACACATACACACACAGACACATACACACACACACAGACACATATACACACACAGAAACACACACACAGACACATACACACACAGACACATACACACACACAGACACACACACAGACACACACACACACAGACACATACACACACAGACACATACACACACAGACACATACACACACACAGACACACACACACAGACACACACACACAGACACATAGACACACACAGACACAGACACACACACAGGCACATACACACACACAGACACACACACAGACACATACACACAGACACACACACACAAACACATATACACACACAGACACACACACAGACACATATACACACACAGACACACAGACACACACAGGCACATATACACACACAGACACACACACACACAGACACATACACACACAGACACACACACACAGACACATACACACACACACAGACACACACACACACAGAGACACACACACACAGACACATAGACACACACAGACACAGACACACACACAGGCACATACACACACACAGACACACACACAGACACATACACACAGACACACACACACAAACACATATACACACACAGACACACACACAGACACATATACACACACAGACACACAGACACACACACAGGCACATATACACACACAGACACACAGACACATACACACACGCACACACACAGACACACACACAGACACATACACACACACAGACACATATACACACACAGACACACACACAGACACACACATAGACACAGACACATACACACACACACAGACACACACACAGACACATACACACACACAGACACACACACAGACACACACACAGACACATACACACACACAGACACATACACACACACAGACACATACACACACAGACACATACACACAGACACAGACACACACACAGACACATACACACACACAGACACACACACAGACACACACACAGACACATACACACACACAGACACATACACACACACAGACACATACACACACAGACACATACACACAGACACACACACAGAAACACACACACATGCACACACATACACACACAGACACAGACACATACACACACACATGCACACACATACACACACACAGACACATACACACACACAGACACATACACACAGACACACACACAGACACACACACAGACACACACACACATGCACACACATACACACACACAGACACATACACACACACATGCACACACATACACACACAGACACACACACACAGACACATATACACACACAGACACATATACACACGCACACACACAGACACACACACAGACACATACACACACACAGACACAGACACACACACAGACACATACACACAGACACACACACACACAGACACACACACAGACACATACACACACACATGCACACACATACACACACACAGACACACACACAGACACATACACACACGCACACACACAGACACACACAGACACATACACACACACAGACACACACACAGACACATACACACACACAGACACACACACACATACACACACACAGATACACACACACATACACACACACAGATACATGCACACACAACACACAGACGCATACACACAGACACATACACACGCACACACAGACACATATACACACGCACGCACACACACAGACACATACACACACGCACGCACACACACAGACACATACACACACACGCGCACACACGCACACGCACACACACACAGACACACACACACTCTCACAAATAAATGCAACGTTAAAACTTTAAAAGGAGGCTGGGTGGTGGCGCACACCTTTAATCCCAGCACTCGGAGGCAGAGGCAGGTGGATCTCAGTGAGTTTGAGGCCAGCCTGGTCTACAGAGCTAGTTCCAGGTCAGATTCCAAAGCTACAGAGAAACCCTGTCTCAAAAAACCAAAACAAAATGAAACAACAAAATATAAAGCCTTTAAAAAGAAAAAGGGATAAGAATGTAGAAAAACTGTGTTTTATGAAAACAAAAAAAAAAACAATTTAAATGCAATTATAGAAATCAGGCTTTTGGCCAGGTGATGGTGGCGTACGCCTTTAATCCCAGCACTCGGGAGGCAGAGGCAGGCGGATCTCTGTGAGTTCGAGACCAGCCTGGTCTACAAGAGCTAGTTCCAGGACAGGCTCCAAAAAGCCACAGAGAAACCCTGTCACGAAAAAAACCAAAAAAAAAAAAAAAACAGAAATCAGGCTTTGTCCAGATTGTGTGGTGTATGTGTGGTGTGTGTCCAGACAGGTGTGTGTGTGGTGCTGGGATAAAACCCAAGGCCTCCCCATGCTAACCACACACGCCACCACTGAGCTATCCCCTGACCTTTGATTTGAATTTTGCTCTTGTTGGGGTGAGTCTTCAGGCTTGGACACAGATATTTTTATCCACTAGCCTATTTCCACAAGACCTGGTTATTTTCTAAAAAGCAGAGCCCAGTTTTGCTCTCAACAGTACTTTCCAGGCTAGAGAAACGGCATAGTTAGTAAAGTGCTTGTCGTGCAAGCCTGAGCGTGGTCCTCAGAATTCATGTTCAAGGCCAGGCTTGGGGAGGCACACCTGTAACCCTGTTGCTGGAAACAGGAGTAGTGTGGGGTCACTGGCCAGCTAGCCCATCCGCAAGTCCCAGGTTCAGAGAAAGACCCTGCCTCGGAAACTAAGGTAGAGGACTGGAGAGGTGGCTCAGCAGTTAAGAGCACTTGGTTACACCTCCAGAGGACCCAGGTTCAATTCCCAGCAACCACATGGTGGGTTAAATCATCTGTAATTCCAGCTCCAAATGACTTGATGTCTCTTCTGCCCTCGGAGTGCACTGCGTGCACATATTGTACATGTGGACAAGAATATACACACTAAAATAATTTAAAAAATAAAATAGGCTGGAGAGAAATAGAAGACACACAGCATCAACCCCTGGCTTCCAAAGGCATACACGCGTGTGTGAGCACACTCACACATACACACACACACACACACACACACACACACACACACACACACACACACCCAGAAAGAGCAGACCACTAGCTGAGCTGGGATTTGAGACTAACAAGTTCTAATTTAATTTTATTAATGTGTGTGTGTGAGGGAGAGAGAGAGAGAGAGAGAGAGAGAGAGAGAGAGAGAGAGAGAGAATACTATGTATGTCTGGGTCTCACAGAGGCTAGAAGAGATGTTGGATCCCATGCAGCTGGAGTAGCAGGGGGCTGTGTGCTGCCTGACATGAGTGCTGGGAACTGAATCTGGCTCTTCTGTAGGAGAAGTAGCTGCTCTTAACTGCCCTGCCATCTCTGTCTATCACAGCACTCCTGTTCTAATTTAATGCAGAGGGGTGTGAGCCCCCAAGTGGGAAGGACTTCTGGGTACAGTCATGAAGAGGATGGGGAGAATGGGACTTAGTTGATAGAGTGCTTCCCTAGAATGCACGAAGTCCTGGGCTTCATCCCTGGCACCCCTTAAACCAGGTGTGAGGGTGCATGCCTGTCCTCCCAGCACTTCAGAGACAGAGGCAGGAGGATCAGGGGTTCAAAGTTGTCCTCGGCTGCATAGCAAGTGTGAGGCTTCTATGGGGACTCAGGGCCTTGGGAGAGGCCAGGACCCAACACCCCTCCCCCTGTCCAGCTTTTCCTCCTGGAAGAAATGCGAGAGAGGAAGTTTGATGGCTTCGCCCGTACCATCCAGAAAGCCTGGCGGCGCCACATAGCGGTCCGAAAGTATGAGGAGATGCGGGAAGAAGGTGAGGAGCTCCGCTAGGAGGCTCGGTCTGCGGGCAGGGGGATTAAAGAAAGGCCATGACTTCCAACCACACATGTGTCCTCGCAGCTTCCAACATCCTACTGAACAAGAAGGAACGCAGGCGAAACAGCATTAACCGGAATTTTGTCGGGGACTATCTGGGGCTGGAGGAGCGGCCTGAATTGCGCCAGTTCCTGGCCAAAAGGGAACGAGTGGACTTTGCCGACTCAGTCACCAAGTATGACCGCCGTTTCAAGGTAAGACCTGAGTGGGTGTTCCCATCAGAGGCTGTGCCTCTGCCTCGCACCTATACCAGAAGATGCCCCGTCCACCTAGCTTCCTGACACCTTTCCTCACAGACGTGTTCCCACCAGGCTCAGACACATCTATCCACAAGTAAACCCTCCATTGTAGTGGACGCTGTCCATCAGACATGACCTCATGGGGCTGGCAGAGCACTTGCTTAGCATGAGCCCTGGGTTCTGTCCTCAGTCCGACACAAACCAGGTATGGCAGCAAATGTCTATAATCCCAGCTCTTGGAGGGTTCAGGATTTCACTTCATCCTCTTCTATACAGTGTGTTCCAGGTCAGCCTGAGCCACGTGAAACCCCAGGGGGAGGGAGACACTCAGTGTGGTACTGTCACACCCACCCGCACTCCCACAGCCGATAACAGAGCCGTCGTCCCTGTGCAGCGCACACCACCTATCCGTCAGCTATCCTTCACCTTGCCACAGGACCACTTCCCTCACTTGGCTTAGACACCCGTGTCCCTGGATTCTGATGCCCCTGTCCATACAAACACTCTCACCAAGCCAAGGGATCCTTGTCCACAGGCACATGCCTCACTGTGCCAGAAATCATGACCAAATTAATTTTCGTGATTGAATAACCTAATGTAGAAAAATCTCTTCCAGACATGCACAGCTGCACATGGCATGTAGCCTGTGCCCGCCCACCACACAGGGACACTTCCATCTCTTCTAGACATGGCATGTAGCCTGTGCCCGCCCACCACACAGGGACACTTCCACCTCTAGGTCCAGACGATCCACTTCCATAGGACACACTCTCGCTTGCTGTCTCAGGGTTTCTACTGCTGTGAAGAGACACCATGGCCATGGCAACACTTATAAGAAAAACATTGAAGGGGCTGGAGAGATGGCTCAGAGGTTAAGAGCATTGCCTGCTCTTCCAAAGGTCCTGAGTTCAATTCCCAGCAACCACATGGTGGCTCACAACCATCTGTAATGGAGTCTGGTGCCCTCTTCTGGCCTGCAGGCATCTACACAGACAGAATATTGCATACATAATAAATAAATATTTTTTAAAAAAGAAAGAAAAACATTGAGTTGGGGTGGCTCACAGTTTCAGAGGTTCAGTCCATCATCATCATGGCAGGGAGCAGCGGTGTGCAGGAGACATGGTGCTGGCTTGTTGGGGCCCATGTCGCTCCAACACAGATAACTGTTTTCCCTAACTGGACTGAAACGGAGACACAAGGAATAATCAGACGCAACTTACACAGTCATCATGGAAGGGCTTCTCAGGGTTCTTTCTCCTGACGATCTCCCCGCGTTTATTATCCAAACAGCTTATATACCATCACATAAATTAAGCGGGAAAATACATTAGTTTGTCTCCTAGGTAACCAGGTGAATGGCCTTTAGTCACATCTGCATCTACCTGTCTGCTGAAGTATGCTAGCTATTACGTAGGCCTAAATTAGCATCTCTATAAGATATTCTCCAAATTACATAGAAAGGAGCCCCAAACATCCTGACCATTAGGTCATCAGCTTCAGCCAACACCTCTCCCCAGGTGATCTACATTTATAACAGAGAAGGAGCAGCACCTCCTGGCTATTGTTGACGCTGTCTGCAGGTCTACGTTACCATCTCAGGTGGGCCTATGGCTTTAGAGCTTGGCTGCCACACCATATAGAAATATGGGCCTACACTGGCTACATCTTGATCAGAAGGCAACAAGAAATGGTCTGAGACAGTGGAAGTAGTTTGAGTGTAGAGAACTCAAAGCCCACCCCATGGTGACACACTTCCTCCAACAAGGCCACACCTCCTAATAGGGCCACTCCCTTTGGGGACATTTTCTTTCAAACCACCATATCTGCTGTCTTAGTTTTGTTACTCAATAAAATACTCTGATAAAAGCAATGTATGGAAGAAAGGATTTATTTGGTTCACAGTTCCAGACTACATTCTCTCAGCATGGGAGAATCAAGGCAGGAACCTTAAGCAGACAGTTACAACCATAGCAAGAGCAGAAATCGATGGATTGAAGTGTGCATGCGTGTAGCTGGCTTGCTCCTTTTTATTCAGCTTGAGGCACAGCCCATGAAATAGTCTTCCCACCTTTAATGTAATCAAAATAATTTCCCCCAGATGTCCCCACATGCCAACCTATTCTAGAGAATCCCTTGAGTCTAGATTGTGCTAAGTTGACAAAACCAACCCTCAGGGACCAGCAAGACAACACAGCAGATAAAGGTACTTGCTGCCAATTTTGAGACCTGAGTTCAGTTCCTAGAACCAAGTTGGCAGAGAAAAAGAACTGACTCCCACAGGTTGTCCTCTGACCACCATGCCATGTCATTCACATGTCCGCACATGCACAGACACATACAAAATAAGTAATTGTTAAATAAAATAGAACTAGCCGTCATTGTTGAATTTTGGGGCTGACTGGTGCAGTTCTTGTCGGCTGGACCTGGGATCTGAGGACCTCAAAGAAGGGGCAGTCTGACGCTGTACACAACCTGACTTCAGTTTCAGTGTGCTCTTATACAAGAATGGAACAAAGAAAGTAGTGATCCAATGAAGGCTATTTGAGCTCAGAAGAGAATGGTCAGAAAAACATGTACCTAAATATCAGTAAGCACATAGTAAATCTTAACAGAGCTGCCTTTCCCAGAACTTCCTCGGAACAGATGGATCTGACCACAGTTGCCTGGTATACACAAGAGATGTATCTGGGGACAGATGGATCTGACCACAGTTGCCTGGTATACACAAGAGATGTATCTGGGGAAGCACTAAAGCAGGGCAGAAGGATGTGTCCAGATTCAGGGCACACTGGCCAGACTGGGTTCCAGAGATATGTTCTGAAATCCAGCCAGAATAAACATATCTTAATAAAAATGTTTGTCACAGGGGGCACCAAGAACAATCATGCACCTGAGGCAAAAGGCCCTCTGCCTTTTTTGCTGGAGCGTCTCCCACAATCCCCCAGGCACTGCTCATGATACGTCATTCTTTTGACAGCATTCAGGTGCATACCTGCCTTCCTATACAAATTCATAGACTCGTGTGGTTGGCCTAGAACTTGCAATCCTCCTGCCTTAGCCTCCTGAGCACCAGGATTACAAGTGTGCCCCGCCACGATCAGATGACTTAGGCTATGTACTCCTATTTGCCCAGTAAGTTGTATATACTCACCTGAGCAATCCATACCTTTACATAAGCTGGGCTGAGGGCATGTGGTTCCATGACAGAGTGTGTGCTTAGCATGCAAGGATTCCATTCCCAGCACAAATCCATACACACAGCTTTGTGACCTTTTCCTGGAGCTGCTAACCAATGTCTGTCCACCCCAGAGAGGTCAATCAACAACAGATCAAAGAAATGGTTCCATTAAGGTATAGCTTGGTGGTACAATAAATTTAATCCAGGTTATTTCCAGGAGCGTGGCTAAAGGATTGGTTACTTAGAGAAGCACGGGCAACTTAGAATTGGCTGTACCACAAGAGAATGTCTCTCATTCTCCCTCAGAACACATGAACTGCCTATAGATCTCCAAGGAAGGATGGGGCTACATGAGTCCCTCCTAGCAACCATTAACTGTCTACAAATCCTCAGGACCCTTGGCCTCAAGAGTCCCTCACCAAAAGTTAATGTGCCCAGTCTTGTGCAAGTCTCTGGAAAGTATATGCAGCTGCAGAGAGGGCAACAGTTATGTGATACTCAGAGGCCAGCCACATCCTTCAGGGTGTTTCTTATATCCTGTACCTGTTGTGGTCCAGACATCCCTAACCAATATGCCCTCACTTTTATTCTATTTCTTATGTGATTTAGCAGCTCACACACCTGCGCTTGGAGGGATTTCCCAGTCACCTTCCCTGCAAGCCCCACCCTTGTCTAGAGTTGGCCGTCTGCCATCAGACTGCCCAGCCCTGGAGCCCAGCCATCAGCCTCCGGCTTTGTCTTTCCACAGCCCATCAAACGTGACTTGATCCTGACCCCCAAGTGTGTGTATGTGATTGGGAGAGAGAAGGTCAAAAAGGGACCAGAGAAGGGTCTGGTTCGTGAAGTCCTGAAGAAGAAATTGGAGATCCAGACCCTTCGAGGCGTGTCCCTCAGGTAAGGCCAAGTCCCTAGCTCTCTTGCCCCTTCCTGTCACATTCCCTTACCCCTACTTCCAGGATCTTCAACAAACTATTTAATTACACTTTTATCTGGGGAGACGGGCACACAGCGCAGCACAGTGAGGGGAGGGCGGTAGAAAAGCATACCACCATGTGGATTATTTCCACCATGTGGGCCTCAGGGAATGTAACTCAGGTCCGACCCTACTTTCGTGATCTTTATGTGGAGACAATTTCTGTCCCTCTTTCTATCTGACCTCTGGTCCTTCCCAGTTACCACCTCTGGGGCTCTTCCTTCTCCCTTCCCCCAATTTGATCCTCAGAGGTTGGACCCCACTTGTTTTCCTGTACCCTCACTCTTGGCTATCCTGCCTCTCCGCCAGCACCAGACAGGATGACTTCTTCATCCTTCAGGAAGAGGCTGCTGACAGTTTCTTAGAAAGTATCTTCAAGACCGAGTTTGTCAGCCTTCTGTGCAAGCGCTTTGAAGAGGCCGCACGCAGGCCCCTGCCCCTCACCTTCAGCGACACGTATGCTCCTCAACCCACAGCCAATTTGAGCACCACTCTCTACCTGGTCTATGTGCGGTGCCCCCTCCCTACCGCAGGGACCCTGGCACGGGTTGGGTGTGGAAGAGGAACCCCAGCGGGAGCCCCCCAATAACCTTCTCTCCCCTAGACTACAGTTCCGGGTGAAGAAGGAAGGCTGGGGCGGAGGCAGTACCCGCAACGTCACCTTCTCCCGCGGGATAGGAGACTTGGCTATGCTCAAAGCTGGGGGCCGAGCTCTCACTGTCAGCATTGGGGACGGTCTGCCTAAGAGCACCAGTAAGTCCGCGGGAAGCAGAGGTGGACATCGTGGGGGCAAGGCTGGGTGAGGTTGATGAAGACTTTGTGGGGGTGGAGCTAGTTAGGCTGGTCTAGAGAGGCCAGGGTTTCAAGGGTCAAGGTACAGAAGAAGATAACCCACCTTAGGGAAATGACCAATGAGAGGAAACGTGAAGGGTCGCGGCCACAGAAGCAAGCCTAAGCTCTCAACAGATGGTGGGGCGTGTCCTGAAGTGAGAGAGCTCAAAGAATAAGGAGGGTGAGGGGAAGGTTCAGAAAGGATGGAATCTCTACCAGCAACTAATGTGGGAGAACCGATGAGTATGAGCAGAGGCTTGGTCAAATCTGTCTCTGCTGTCTTTCTCTTTTCAGAGCCTACGCGGAAGGGGTTAGCCCAGGGAAGACCTCGAAGGTCAGCGCAGGCCCCTACTCGAGCAGCTCCTGGGCCCCCCAGAGGTGAGGACTTAGTGACTTACGCTGCCTTTTGTGGACGTCGGAATCTAACAACAGTGACTCAACTCACTATAGCTCTCCCATGTACAAGAGGCATAATCGGGAATATTTCTAAGATCTGACCTCTCCCACCATCCGGCACAATCCTAGCCTGGAAACTACGTTTAATTTAGCCAACTCATCATATTTATTCTTGCCTCTAGACTTGGCATCCAAATCCCCACATTACCTACACCCTAGAGGTAGAATGCTTGCTTAGCATGTGGAAAGACATGTAAATCTGGGTCTGCCAACTGCACAGGAACGTTGAGACCCTGTCTCAAAAACAGATAGGAGAGCTGGGCAGTGGTGGTGAACATCTTTAACACCAGCAAGTAGGAGGCAGAGGCAGGAGGATCTCTGGGTTTGAGGCCAGCCTGGTCTACAGGACTGGCTCCACAGCTACTGAAACCTCCCTCCCAAAAAAGATGGATGGATGGATAGATAGATAGATAGATAGATGATAGATAGATAGATAGATAGATGATAGATAGATAGATGATAGATAGATAGATAGATGATAAATAGATAGATAGATAGATAGATGATAGATAGATAGATAGATAGATAGATAGATAGATAGATAGGAAGTAGTAAGGGCAGCGGCGGGGCTGCGTCCCCAACACCCTAGCCGCCTGCCTGGATAGCTTATGCCCCGAAATAATTACACGGACACTGTATTCTTTTAATCACTGCTTGGCCCATTTCTATCTAACCTCTCCTAGGCTAATTTTCACATATTAATTTAGCCCATTTCTAATCATCTGTGTTGCGCCCCTAGGTGCGCTTACCGGGAAGATTCTAGCCTATGTCCATCCTGGGTCGGAGCTTCTTCCCGGGAGTCTCTCTCAGGCGTCTGCTCCCGAGAGGAGAGCTGTGAGTCTCTGACCTCACTTCCTGTTCCTCCCAGCGTTCTGTTCTGATTACTCCTCCCACCTATCTTCTAACCAATAAAATGGGCCAAGGCAGTTCCTTTATTAGCCAATGACCTTCCTCCATCATAGATAGATTGATGATAGATAGATAGATAGATAGATGATAGATAGATAGATAGATGATAGATAGATAGATAGATGATAGATAGATAGATGATAGATAGATAGATGATAGATAGATAGATAGATAGATAGATAGATAGATAGATAGAAAAATAGATAGATAGATAGATAGATAGATAGATAGATAGATAGATGATAGATAGATGATAGATAGATGATAGATAGATAGATAGATAGATAGATAGATAGATAGATAGATAGATAGATGATAGATAGATGATAGATAGATAGATGATAGATGATAGATAGATAGATAGATAGATAGATAGATAGATAGATAGATAGATGATAGATAGATAGATGATAGATAGATAGATAGATGATAGATAGATAGATAGATGATAGATAGATAGATGATAGATAGATAGATAGATAGATGATAGATAGATAGATAGATAGATAGATAGATAGATAGATAGATAGATGATAGAGAGATAGATGATTGATAGATAGATAGATAGATAGATAGATAGATAGATAGATAGATAGATAGATGATAGATAGATAGATGATAGATAGATAGATAGATAGATAGATGATTGATAGAGAGATAGATGATTGATAGATAGATAGATAGATAGATAGATAGATGATAGATAGATAGATGATAGATAGATAGATAGATAGATGATAGATAGATAGATAGATAGATAGATAGATAGATAGATAGATAGATAGATAAAAAGAAAAAAGATTTGGGCTGGGTGTGGTGGTGAACACCTTTAATTCCAGGACTCAGGAGTTGAAGGCAGGTGGATCTCTGAAAGTTCAAGGCCAGCTTGGTCTACACATCCAGTGCCACAGCTACACAGTGAAACCATAGATCAAAGGAGAAGGGAGAGGTGGGAGGTGAGGAGGAGGAAGAGATGGAGAGAAGAAAGGAGGGGAGTAGGAAAAAGTAAGGGAGAAGGAAGAGGAAGAAAGAAAGAAACTCCCAAGTCTTCATCAAGTGTGTACCATGCATGCGCCCCACACATATACCAGCAATACATAAAGCCACGCACAAACGCCCTTCTGTTTACCCCAGCAGCTTGTAAAGCTCCCTATAGAGCCTCCTGCCTCTGGGGTCCCTCATGCAGACTCTGTCCTTTTCTTTTTGTTTGTTTTGGTGGTTTGGTTTTTCTTTCTGTTTTTTTGTTTTGTTTTGTTTTGGGTTTGGTTTATTGAGACAGGGTTTCTCTGTGTAGCCCTGGCTGTCCTGGAACTCACTCTGTAGACCAGGCTGGCCTTGACCTCAGAGATCCACCTGCCTCTGCCTCTGCCTCTGCCTCTGCCTCCTGAGTGCTGGGGTTAAAGGCATCACCATGTTCTTGTTTTTGAGACAGGGACACTCTATGTGGTCCTGGCTGGTAGGACCACCTGCCTCTTCTTCCCCAGGTGCTGGGGTTAAAGGCGAGCATCTCCACTCCTGGTCCTCAGATACAGTTCTACCATACTGAGTTGAGAGTGGCTGCATCTTCTGTCGGGCTCAGATCTCAGCACCAACTCCTCAAATGTTCACAGCCACTCATGACAGATATCTCTGTCTTTGTTTCCACCATAGGCATGAATCGAAATGGGGTACCACCTTCTTCCCGGGCGGGGCCCTTACCCATGGAAATCACATCTGGAAGGAATTCCCAGAGGCCTCCCCGAGGCCCTCCATCCTCAACCCTAGGAGCCAGCAGACGTCCCCGGGCACGGCCACCTTCAGAGCACAACACAGAATTCCTCAATGTGCCTGACCAGGGTGTGGCAGGGTAGGTGGGGACAGGTGGGGGGCACAGCCCCAGGAGGTGGCTAAGGGATAGAGGAGTATCTATCCGGGGCTGTGATGAAACCCACACTGTCTCCACAGCATGCAAAGGAAGCGGAGCATAGGGCAGAGACCTGTGCCAGGTGTGGGCCGGCCCAAGCCCCAACCACGCATCCATGGCCCAAGGTGCCGGGCACTGTACCAATACATAGGCCAAGATGTGGACGAGCTGAGCTTCAATGTGAATGAAGTAATTGAGATCCTCATGGAAGGTTTGTATTCCGGGGTAGAGGCTGAGGGTGGGGAGTGTTCAGACATAGTGAGGCAGCTACACATTGCTGCATAGCCTTCCACCCCTGCAAAAACCAGGAGCAAGGGCCAGTGAGGCGGCCCAGCAGGCAAAGGCCATTGCCACCAAACCTAGGACTCACACACACACAGGCTGGGGAGATGGCTCCGTGGTTAAGACTCTTGTCTTGAACACGAGGACCAGAGTTCTGATTTCCAGAATACCCAGAGCAAGCTCTGGTTCTTACTGAGAGATTCTGCCTTAGTGAATACGGTGGATGAGCAGTAGGGAATGATGCCGTGGGGTCTCCACATGCCACCCCATACACGGGCACCTACACACATGCAAAAACATACAACTCAGAGGTGCATACCGTGCTCACACATTACGGAAGAAGAAAGTGTAATTTAAAAGTGTAACACCGAGCACAGTGGTGCACACAGAAGTGAGCACAGTGGTGAGCACAGTGGTGAGCACAGTGGTGAGCACACAGTGGTGAGCACAGTGGTGAGCACACAGTGGTGAGCACAGTGGTGAGCACACAGTGGTGAGCACACAGTGGTGAGCACAGTGGTGAGCACACAGTGGTGAGCACGGTGGTGAGCACGGTGGTGAGCACGGTGGTGAGCACGGTGGTGCGCACGGTGGTGAGCACGGTGGTGAGCACGGTGGTGAGCACAGTGGTGAGCACACAGTGGTGCACACAGAAGTGAGCACAGTGGTGAGCACACAGTGGTGAGCACAGTGGTGAGCACACAGTGGTGAGCACAGTGGTGAGCACACAGTGGTGAGCACACAGTGGTGAGCACAGTGGTGAGCACACAGTGGTGAGCACGGTGGTGAGCACGGTGGTGAGCACGGTGGTGAGCACGGTGGTGCGCACGGTGGTGAGCACAGTGGTGAGCACGGTGGTGAGCACAGTGGTGAGCACACAGTGGTGCACACAGAAGTGAGCACAGTGGTGAGCACACAGTGGTGCGCACAGTGGTGAGCACAGTGGTGAGCACAGTGGTGAGCACAGTGGTGAGCACACAGTGGTGCAGACAGAAGTGAGCACAGTGGTGAGCACACAGTGGTGAGCACAGTGGTGCACACAGTGGTGAGCACAGTGGTGAGCACACAGTGGTGAGCACAGTGGTGAGCACAGTGGTGAGCACACAGTGGTGAGCACACAGTGGTGAGCACAGTGGTGAGCACACAGTGGTGAGCACACAGTGGTGAGCACAGTGGTGAGCACACAGTGGTGAGCACAGTGGTGAGCACACGGTGGTGAGCACGGTGGTGAGCACACGGTGGTGAGCACGGTGGTGAGCACACGGTGGTGAGCACACGGTGGTGAGCACACGGTGGTGAGCACGGTGGTGAGCACGGTGGTGAGCACACAGTGGTGAGCACACAGTGGTGAGCACAGTGGTGAGCACACAGTGGTGAGCACACAGTGGTGAGCACAGTGGTGAGCACACAGTGGTGAGCACAGTGGTGCACACAGTGGTGAGCACACAGTGGTGAGCACACAGTGGTGAGCACACAGTGGTGCACACAGTGGTGAGCACAGTGGTGAGCACACAGTGGTGAGCACACAGTGGTGAGCACACAGTGGTGAGCACAGTGGTGAGCACACGGTGGTGAGCACAGTGGTGAGCACACGGTGGTGAGCACACGGTGGTGAGCACACGGTGGTGAGCACACGGTGGTGAGCACGGTGGTGAGCACACGGTGGTGAGCCTACGGTGGTGAGCACACGGTGGTGAGCACACAGTGGTGAGCACACAGTGGTGAGCACAGTGGTGCACACAGTGGTGAGCACACAGTGGTGCACACAGTGGTTAGCACAGTGGTGAGCACACGGTGGTGAGCACGGTGGTGAGCACACGGTGGTGAGCACACGGTGGTGAGCACACGGTGAGCACACGGTGGTGAGCACGGTGGTGAGCACGGTGGTGAGCACGGTGGTGAGCACACAGTGGTGAGCACACAGTGGTGAGCACAGAGGTGAGCACACAGTGGTGAGCACACAGTGGTGAGCACACAGTGGTGAGCACAGTGGTGCACACAGTGGTGAGCACACAGTGGTGCACACAGTGGTTAGCACAGTGGTGAGCACACGGTGGTGAGCACACGGTGGTGAGCACACGGTGGTGAGCACGGTGGTGAGCACACGGTGGTGAGCACACGGTGGTGAGCACACGGTGAGCACACGGTGGTGAGCACGGTGGTGAGCACGGTGGTGAGCACGGTGGTGAGCACACAGTGGTGAGCACACAGTGGTGAGCACAGAGGT